AATTACTTCCAGAAAACAGGACATGCAGATTTTCTGATTTTCAAAACCACTCTGCATACTGAATTCATAAATCCTTTCTTATGAAGTACTATATTAGGGCTGCACAGGATGGACACAATGCCATTGTTGTGACCGTATTGTTGCATAATGTGATTGCAGTATGCTTTACAGTATGCTAAAGGGACCATATCTTGTACTTCAGAATTTCATAAGGCCCACTTATTACATCTGCATGGTTTGATTTACCAAAACCAGTCATCATTCATCTTTACATGATCATTTTCAAGTCCCTCTTTATCCCTTAGAATTGAAGAGCCTGTTTTTGTTACTGTGTCTTTAAGACCGATATACCAATATAATCTTAATTAGGAAATGCAGATGTTTCAGCCGCATCCATTGCTAACAGGTGTATAAAATGAGTAGGGATGCAACAATTCATCGACTTAGTCAACTAAAATTGAACCAAATTAGTTGGCAGCTAATAACATTTTTGATTAGTTGGTGACATCATTGTGCATGTTTCTCACGCTAATTAGGGATATTTTGACATTACTGCTTACTGGAGAGTTGGCAAAAAAATAGCAGTAATAACAGCTAATAATACTAATAATAATAATGGCAAAGTGCGATGGCAGCCCCAAGATCAAAACGTGTGGGAACGCTTTACGCTTAACTCCGAAAAGAAGTTGTCAGTTGTGCTATTTGTAAAGCTGACCTTAGCTGGCACAGGAGCACATTCTCCATGCTGGAGCATCTGAAGAGGAAACACATCGGCTCATAATGATTATTCACAGCAACACAGCAGCATAATTATTATTCACAGCAATAGCGCCGCTATTTTGGGCGGTCAACATTGCTGCTGGACTGCGTTTAGTACCATTACAGAGTTGAAGTTTAAGAAGTGTGCAAAATTACACTATTTCAAGAATATTGCATGTTATTAGAATTATTAGAAAGCGGAATAGGATTATAAAACGATGAGAATGTAGCAATCCATACTCCTGTTTGTATGTTGCTTATGGTTTGTGTGTTGTTTGTGTAGATATGACCATGTGGTTGGTGAAGCATAGAGAATCTCTTGGTGTGATTGAGGAAGTACTGATTAAGTTTTGTTAGATTTTGTTGCTGTTACTTTGCACATCCTTGATTTAAATTTTTTACAGGAAATATATCTTGTTTTATTTGTCTTTTGTATTAGCAGTAAAGTTCATTATTTATATTTATTGTCTTATTTGTTAGTTAACAAATGCATAACACAACCTTAAGCTAAATTTAAATGCCGATAGCTACATAAGAGTTATTTGGTAACTGAGCGATTCATAATCCGAATAATCGATTATTCATTTCAATAATCGATAGATTATCATAATAGTTGTTTGTTGCAGCCCTATCTATGAGCAACATCAGCTCAGCCACAAAGCGGTACACCATGCAAACTCACAGAGGGAGGCCTCTGAGTGATCCACGTAGCGCGTAAAAAACACCTATCATCTGTTGTGTCACTCAATTCAGAGTTCTAGACTGCCTCTGGAAGCAACATCAGCACAAGACCTGTCGCTGAGGAGGTACATAGATGGGGCAGTAGAAATGTGTTCTCTGGAGTGATTAACTATGCTTCACTATTGTCTGACGGTGGTCCGATGGACGAATCTGGGTTTGGCGGATGCCAGAAGAACTTTGCCTCCTGGAATTCATAGTGCCAACAGTAAAGTTTGGTAGAGAAGTTATAATAGTCTGGGCCTGTTTTTCAGGGTTTGGACTCTGCTTCTTAGTTCCAGTGAAGAGTAATGTTAAAGCTACAGCATACAAAGACATTTAGACAATTGTATGCTTCCAACTTTGTGGCAACAGTTTGGAGAATGTCCTTTCCTGTTCCAGCTTGAATGATCTTGAATAATCTCCATGGTTTTGGAAAGGGATGTCCATATGTGATGGTCAGGTGCCCACATACTTTTGGCCATATAATATATATAAATGAACTCTGTTCTAAATGGCTGCCCTGTATTGTATGTCATTCAAAGAGCAGTTGACATCAGACCATTCCCTATATCTTTAACGGCAAGACTAAACTGCTGTAGATTAAATAGGATGCATGTAAATTATTTGGTTTTCAGTATGTTTAACAATGTTGACATACTACAACAAATTCATTTATTTCAAAAGTGGAAAATATGATTTTCTGTGATATAGGCCCTTTAAAAATGTATTTGTGAATCATTAATGTGATCACTTAATGGTTAAAATTTGGCTTGCATTATTTTCACTGTTTCATTAGAACAACCACAGAAACTCAGGTGGAACTGTATTTGGTAAAAATGCACACAGCACACAGTAAACAAACACTGTGATTGGTAAGAGGGCTCATTTGCATGTTGCAGCCTCCTGTGATACTAACATTGCAGTTACCGTTAGCAAACAATTCTCTGTCCTTGGTACATTAAACTACTGTATAAAGTAGTTTCAGCATATAATGATCCATTATAAATTCCACTATTAATATAATAAGTGAATTCAGCTACTTCACCTACTTCACCCATTGCTGGCAAAGGGACAAAGGTGTTGCACACAAACACATATAGAAACTCTATAGAAAAGCATTGACCAATAGAATGGATGTTTCATGAGGAGCAGATGCACATGAGCCTTAAGTCATGCGGGGGCTAGAGGATTATGAAAACCCCCAGGATTGGACTGTGGAGTAGTGAATCCAGTTCTGTTGGAATGAGTTGGAGTGGCGTTTGTAATCCAGAACTAATCATACAGCGTCAGTACCTGACCTCACTAATGCTCTTGTGGAAGAATGCAATTGAATCCTCACCGCAATTTTCGAACATCTAGCGTAAAGCCTTCGTAGAGGCTGTTACCACAGCAAAGAGGGATAAACTCCCTATTAATGCCCTTGATTTCAGAAGAAATGTAAGATGAGTAGGTGTCTACAAACTTTTGGAAATATAGTATGTGTGGACCATTTCTACCAAATTAGTTCAAACTCCAGTCCCACAGTAAAAACTATTAAAAAAAAGGATTCAGACCTTAGATATTTACAACGATTGTTATGATCTGTTTAAACCCAAGGCATTGAGATAGTGTTAAGCTAAATATATACAAAATCATCAGTTATAGAGTACTTTCTGTTTGGAGGTGGCTGTCCCAAACCCTAACCCCAATATATTTCAAATTCAGAAATTAGTTATTAGTTATTTTGCATTTTTCTAGTGTTGTTTAAAAAAAACATTTTAATGTCTTTAAAGTGAAAGATTTAAATTGTCATTTCATTTTTAAATACAAAAAAAAAACTATTCAAAACATGCTGTCTCAAGTTTTCATGTCACTACCAATATACAGAGTTTTAGTTGATTGGCAGAACCTTAATTCAGCCACACCCCTGCGTTTTAAAGCAGGAAGTGAGACTGCATACCTGTTTTTCATGGCCACATGTTAGGCAGTTAGGTCCAAGTGTTTTGAAGTAAATGTGTCAGAAAATCAGTTTGTAACGTTAAGAATAATCTCTTCTGAAAAACATACTTTTTTGTGAATAAGTAAGTAAAATAATGAAAAAGCTGTGTTTACTAGTCATGTACTAGCAAGGGGTTTTGGGTTCTGCTCAAAGTTAGCCAAAATTGTCACTACTGAAACAGTTACTTCTGAAACATTTGGTGAAGTTTCAGAGGCGTTCTTAATGTGTTGGCAGTAACAAAACGGAATGTTCTAAGGTATTGGTTGGAACTAAGGTATTGGTTGATTCACAACAGGATTTAAGTCAGTTAAATGTCTGGAAAATGTTTTGAGCTCTGACTTTAAACCGTTTTGGCAGAATCATCCATATCAGACATCACGAATGCTGCAGACAGCATTTAGAAAACTCCAGCTGAACCATGCTCTGCCTGCAGATTGCAGCCCTTACTATAATCAGGAAATAGCTGAATGGAGCAGATAGCTTTTTCATCTGTTTTACTCTGTATATCAGAGTATAAGTGATGATCTTATAAAAAAAACCCTTCCTTGTAGCTCTAGCTCTCTGGTGTACAGTAATAGACTGTAACTCATCTATTAATACACAATTGGTCATCCACTCTCCACCTAGCAGTGACACTGATGTGTAAAAACTGAGAATGGATCACCACCCAGATAATATCTGGACAACAGTGGTTCTGTGGTAGAGGGGAGCTGATAAATTGTGCAGCAACTGTTGGACTACAGCCAGTAAATGTACACTGTCAGAAAAAATATACATAGCATGTGCATTTTTTATTTGTCAAGAGACAGGCATTGCAAAATTTGTCCTTAAAGGTAAAACTGTGTACCCTAAATAAGTTTTATCCCAGGAGAGAGGTACATATTTGTTTCTTTTTAAATACCTAATGTTTAAAACAAAACAATAACGTAAAAAAGTGGAGTCAAGACAGGATGTGTGGAGACAATACAATTTAAAAATATGATTCCATAGGATTATGAGACAATTATGTTCCCTAACTAAAGGTACTTTAGATGTAGCCTATGAGGGTACCACCCTATTGACAAGAGCGATATTGCCCCAGTGACAGTTCAGTACCTTTTTTTCTGAGAATGTACAGTACCACAAAAAAAAGTCAGAGCCCACCCTTCATTTATTTAATTTTTGGTCAACATGGCCATTAAATACTAGTTATTCTTTTTTAGCATCTTGAAAAGAAGAGAAAGTTTTTCAAACTCTTTCAAACTTTTTTTTTCTTTGACTTTTTCCTCCCTTGTGCAAGTGGATTAACGTTTGGCTAGAAATTAAATAAATGATGGGTAAAAAAAAGGGTTTCTGATTTTGACCGGTATCATAAATAGCGGAGCCAAAAGTGAGGTGGAGCTCATATAATGGCCAGTGAGTGGAAGTACAAGGTAGGGGTGTCTAACAAAGTGCTCAGTGAGTGGAAATATAAGGTGGGAGTTTCTAGTAAAGTGGCCAGTGAGTCTGTACAAGGTTTTGATATTGGACTTACTCTCTGTTGTGTGTGTGTGTTTGTGTGTAGATTCAACAAGGACAGAACGACCCAGTCAGAACCCCTCCACATGAAAACCCCGATAAATTACCTCCTGTTATCAGAGCTGCGCAGGGTGGTAAGTCATGTGCTCATATATTTTACACACACACCCCTGTACTCACTCTTTTACACAGGTGGGTAAATCTGACAGTGTCTTCATCAAATATCTTAGTTACCATTGTAGTCTCTCTCTCTCATATTAAGTGTGGTTCTCTTATGGAAAATAGCTACAGTAATATTATAGCGATTTCCAGATGATTCTTATATGAATCTTTTCGTTTTTGGAAATAAAACAGTTGATTGGTAAACAAATAGTTAAGGTTTCAAAATGTACCATTCACTTTCCAGCTCATACAGTCCAAAAACCATTTTGAACTCTTTCACATTTACATTATTTACCTAGTGAGTATACAACTCCACCCATTGATGTTGACATTTTAGTCTGGACTGTTTTATGAATGAGTTATGATGCAAAGAAATTGGAATCGACGAAAAAAAAAATGCATGATATAAGCATGAAAAAGGTGCATCCTTCTATTGATAGAAAGATTTTTTCGAAAGGAGAGTGCTGAGGGAGCCAGGCTGAGTGTGATGGAATATATATATTTTTTGCTTTTACATCTGCACATTTTCCAGCTATCCAGAATTGGGAGAGTCTAAATCTCTCTTCACTTATGTATGTGCGTTGATGTGTCTTGACATTGAGAGCAGCAAAGCAGCTGTATGTGTCCTGATGTCTTGTCCCCAGGTAGATGCAGGTTGTTTTTCTGACTGCAGTCATCCTTACAGAAATCCTCTCATAAATCCTGTCAGCCAGCTTAAGATTTGCTCCAGTCATGTGGACTAGGTATCACCAGCACCAGCATGACTAGCTAGCTGTCAGCAATTTTTCTGATTCAAAAATGATTCGCTGGAGTCATGCCACTGAGTCCCAGCACTGAGAAACCTGGTCTGCAGACAAGAACCGTTTGATGATTTTGTCTGCTGAATTTTATATTATTTATATCCTAACTGCATTATCTGTTGCAGTCCAGAGGAGGATGGGTTGTCGTTTTAACAGTTGGTTCCTCTCAGTGATTCTTCCTCATGCTCTTAGGGAGTTTCTCCTTTTGAGTCATGGTTCCTCTCATGATTCTTCCTCATGCTCTTAGGGATTTTTCCTTTTGAGTCATGGTTCCTCTCAGATTTTTCCTCATGCTCTTAGAGAGTTTTTTCCTCTGAATCTTGGGACAGTGGCTGTTGGAGAAGGTACTGAATTGAATTGTATGATTCCTTTGCAGTTTAATTATATGATTCAATTACATGTAACAAAAGGACTGAATACATAAAGAAGTGTAACTTATTTCAAACCTTTTTTTATTTTTGTATCAATGAGTATTAGTTTCTGACAGCATCAGATTAAAAAAAGACTAAAAACTTTAATTTAAACAGCCCCATCTATGAATCCTATTTAAAAAGTCTCTCTATGGTCACTACAGTGGCCTGTGCTTGATAGATTAGTCCACATGATTTTTTGAAAAATCATGGATGACTGCATGGACAACTTTCTCAATTATAAGATGGAGTAATTTCTGAATTGGTTACATTGAAAGAGGCCTACAAAAAATGCTCAAGGTTAGGGAAGATGCTGTTGTTAAGGAAACATTGCCCCTGTAAATGAAATCCAGGTGGCAGAGTTGTTACTTGATTAAAAAAACAAAAACAGGAGCACCCAATTCTCTCTCCTGCATGTTTACTGTTTATGGTTTTGCTGCAGTGTGGAGACCAGCGGCAGATGAAGTTTACTGTTGTACTGGAGCTTCCACCTGGTTCACTTCATTTTAGAGCTTCAGTATTACACACACATACACACAGTTGTATTTATGAGTAACATAAAACTCAGTAAATTTGCTGTCAGACGCACACGCATGATTTAGAGCAGCTCTGACAATCCAGCTGAATTAAAACGGAGTGAGCAATTTGTTTAGTGTTTAGGACCTGTCCAGACTGCCTGTCTGCTGCCTCGGCTCAGCATGTGTGTGTGTGTGACATAGTGAATGTGTTTGTGTCCTCTCTCTCTTACACACACACACACAGACACACACACACACACTCTCTCACTCTCTCTCTCTCTCAGTCTCTCTCTTTCTCTTTTGCTCTCTCCCTCTCTTGGTCGCTGATACCAGATGGCTTGCCTGCATTAGAAGTGTTTTATTTCCCTGTGGATGCCAGATATGTCTAAAATAAGCACAAGATGCTTTTCTCAGGTGGAGTGTTCATACCAGTCTCTCCACTGGCTCCCTGTTCTCCAGTCAACATACCACCAGCCTAATACTTCATAAAGAAAGAGAGAAAGACAAAAGGGAAGCTGGCAAACGAAAAAAGAGAAGGGGTAAGAGAGAGAGCAAAGGGTAAGCTGAAAGGTGGTGTGGAAAGTAGCCAGGATTGAGTAGTTAATGGAAAGAGAGAGCAAAGTGATGAGAAAAGTCAAGCTGCAAACTAGTTCCAGTGATGGAAGAGGTATGGTGGAAGGTAGAGAACGAGAAAAGGAGTGAAATATCTACCCGTGCAGACAGGCTCTTGCTTAATGGGGGCCCTAATCAGAGGGCCAGCTAATAACGATGACTACCGCAAGCTGTTTACACTGTATAAATGTATAACTAGGTAATTTGTGTACTGCTGGTAATGAGATGCTTATTTGGAAATTTAATAAGTTACAGTTTAAATTACAGACAACCTTCCCTGCAATTTCAATCCAGGGTTTTTAGTCACAACACAGTATTTCTTGCTTACACAGCTAACTTTAAGCCTAGTTTGATCTAACCGTGGTCGCAGTGGCAATAGTGTTGCTTGTTTGCCTTTGTAAATATTTTACTTTCTTCATATTTAGATAGATCGTTTCTTTTTCATTCAACGACAACTCCATCTTATGTTTCATGTGATGGACTGTTTGTAATGAAAATTAAACACAGCCTGAGTATCTAAACCTGTTTAAATCATAGTCTGAGTATCTAATCCTGGATTAACAGAGAAAGTTGTTAACCGCTGTTTTAAACAAATTAACCATGTCTATGTTTGTTAGGTTTTATGAAGCTGAAAATTTGTCAGAAATTGCTGTCCAAGTTGAACCTGCTTCTTTAGACAGACCTGAGATCCACTACTTGTAGCTTTTTAATTACATGCCAAAACAAATGACTTTTTCCTCATCTTCCATTATTTTTTTCAGTTTTTTGGCTTCGGATGCGTACATTCGTACATTTTTTGAGACATAATTAACCAGTTACACTTAAGCATCTTACACCATGTAATGGTACAATAATAACCCAGATTTTATTAAGAGCAGTCTTGGGACCCTAAGCAAATGCTTATGTCACTTATTAGTTAGAGTCGGCACTGAACACACATTCTTGAAATTGATAAATTTCTTTATTCCATCCCATCTCATATTAAAACAAACAAATTCTTATGAACTAACAACCAACGCTATCCACCAGCATCCAACACCATTCACCAGAAACCAACACCATCCAGTACTGACCAACACCACTGACCAACACTATCTACCAGTACCCAACACTATCCACCAGCGTCCAACAGCATCCACCAGCACTCACCAGCACCCGACACCACCCACCAGTATATAGCCCCATCCATCAAAGCCCAACACCACTGACCAACACCATCCACCAGCACCCAGTGCTATTCACCAGCAGTCAACATCATCCACAAGTGACCCGCATCAAAGACCGCACCGTCCACCAATAATCAACACCAGTGATCAACACCATCCACCAGCAATCAACACCAAAGACCAACACCATCCACTAACAATCAACACCAAAGACCAGCACCACCCACTAACAATCAACACCAAAGACCAACACCACCCACTAACAGTCAACACCAAAGACCAACACCACCCACTAACAACCCACACCATTCATAAAGAAAACACCAATGGCCGAAGCGTTCCACCAGCACCCAGCATGCCGTACTCCAACAATCAGTGACCAACACCACCAACAGCCAGCAACATCCACCATGATTAATAAAAGCATCAGAGCAACGAAATTATAGAATAGATGAACATTATAATTACAATAATTCAAAAAGTAAACTGAAATGTCACAGCTAATACCTTTAGCAGTTGTTACTGCAAGACAATACACACACAGGAGAGACGACTACAAACTTTGAACATCTTTGTTATTTTAGCTGCAGTCCACAGTTCCTCTTGTCTCTTCTTCTCATCCCTTGGTGCAATTCCCCATGACTCCCTCTGTCTTCTAACACTGTTTATATAATCTACTTAAACCTCTACCTAGACCGGTCTATTTATATGTGTTTTGACATAATTCTTATGTAAGGGTTGAGGAGCGGTCTCAAAACAGGAAAGGAAGAGAGTAGTGGAGAGAGAGAGAGAGGTTTGTTTTCCCCAGGGGTGAGTGTTTGGCTGAGCTCCGTAGGGTGAGTGTAGAGACAGACACCAGCTGAGCCAGACTCTATAACGCATCCAATGAGGCACAGTGCTGGAAAGATCTTCTGGGTTTGTTCACTAATTGACAGAGAGTTACAGCGAATACCAGCGGTCTTCACTGTACACATACAAGAAATACCTGCAAATATGGAATTTATTTTTTTTCTTACTGATTGTGGCTTCCTGTACCAATAATAGTAGTAGTTATAGTAATAACTTTAAAAAATAATTTTTAAATGGGGGAGGGGGGTAAAAATATTATTTATTTTAATTTGCATTTTTGTTAAACCATTGCTTTAATTGATTAACACACAATGGGAACACAAGTAAAAGGGATTATAGTTACTCCTAAAAACAGCAGGTTGTTACATGAGATGGATCTTGTGTAGTTCCTCCAGCGGTCTCTCATAATGCTGTGTGCTTTAAGCCTTGGGCTAGAAGATACTATATACAGGCCACTGAGGGTCAGAAAGAGAAAAGAGAAGCTATTCCTGATTCTATACCCTATCTCTCTGTCTCTCTCTCTCTCTTTCTCTCTCTCTCTCTCTCTCTCTCCCTCTCCCTCTCCCTCTCCCTCTCTCTTTGTCTATCTGTACCTCCACAAGCTAAGCCAGGGGGCC